GCCAAACCTGATCTTGTTCTAGTGTCGCTGCCCACGTGGAGGTGAAGACCCCGTTCTCAGCTCCGTCATTTGCGGGACTTTGGGTGGCTCCTGCCACTGACCTCACCGACATGCTGGCCTGTGGCAGGCCTAGGACCTCAGTGGGGAGGAGGAGCTGCCGCAAGGCCCTGTCCCAGCAGGAGGGAGGCTTCCTGACTGACACAGGCCAGCCCCATCTTGGTCCTGTCACCCTGGCCCCAACTATTAAAGTGCCATTTCCTGTCTGGACTGCAGTGGATGTATCTGTATGGACCCCTCCTGTCCCCATCTCACTCCCAGCCCAGGAAAGCCAAGCCTTTGTCGTGTGTAGTATCTTTATGGGGGCCTTGGGTCATAGGTGTGCGTCGTAGTAATACTCAGCAAGGTCGGGCCCATCCCGCTTGCGCTGCTGGGCCCGGGACAGGAGGGGTCGAGGCCCTCGCGGCCACGGGTGCTTGGGGAGGATGCCATAGTCTAGAGGGAGAAAGGAGGGCATGGGTGGGAGGGGCAGCTGGCACCCTTGAACAGATGTGGTTTGGGATGACAAGCCCCCGAAGGCTGGACTTGGGGCACCCCTTAGGGGAGTCTCCACTGTCAGGGAGGGGCAGGGGAAGGGGACGAGAGAGATACTACCATCCACCAGGCCGGAGAGTGGCTGCGAGAGTTCCAGGGGTGCGGAAAATGCCTCAGGAACAGACTGCTGAGACCTGTGGGAGAGGTTGGGGTGCTCGGCCCTGGCCCAGAAAGCCACCGCCACCTCCTTGTGAATGGGGGGATGGCCCAGTGTGGGGGCACTTGGCAAGCCCTCCAACACCCAGGGTACCAGGGCCAGCCAGCCCCACTCCAGAGAGGGGAGGGGCAGCACCTCTGCCGTCCAGCCCGAGTGCCCTGCCCCCCCGTGCCCCAGGAGTCACCTCAGAGGCTGGGAGTGAAGCAGTGCCACTGCCAGGATGAGGTGGAGGAAGAGGCTGAGCCCAGCCCGGGGGTGCAGAGCCCCCAGCATGGCGAGAACCATCTCCTACACAG